AAAAATTGTTATTAGTACTTTAAGATGTTTGAGCAGCCATTCTTTCACCCCTATAAAACTACCCAACAATACTAGTGATTTTCTTTCATGGCATTCTCTTCTCTTTCCCCCCTCCCTTCCTTTTTCATTTTACCAGGATGTGAAGTGATAGCTGTCAACACCCGGTCCACTAGCCAGACATTTATTTATAAGTGTGATGCTGTTCTCTGTACCCTTCCCTTGGGAGTGCTGAAGCAGCAGCCTCCTGCTGTACAGTTTGTTCCTCCTCTTCCGGAGTGGAAGACATCTGCTGTGCAGAGAATGGGATTTGGAAACCTTAACAAGGTAGCTTGAAATGTACAAAAGTGGAGCAGTGGGGGGTGGGGTGGGCAGCAAAGAGCAATTACAGTAGCTATACCCTTACCTGCTGTGGATAGGTGGAAGCTTTCTTCCTCAATTCATTCCAGCTGAAGAAAATCATGCCCTAGAAGAGATGAATCAATTCTAGCAGCATTGAATCGGAAAGCTTAGCTTGCTTTCCACTTACACTTGATAGCGTACTGGGGGTGTCAATGAACGTTGGCTGGAAATCGGAGAAACACTTCCTGAAGCAAATGTATCTTACTCATATGGTCTGTTTCATATATATTAATTCATATGTGTATGTCAGAGTCTGAAGTATTTTCTGAGTTTATTTTGTGAAAACACAAAACCTGTACATAGATTTCCTGTGACATGAAAGAAGAAGGGGAAATTATTTAAAGCACCGCTTGGAACTGGTGAGAAATGTAAAGTGCCCCCCTTCCCTTGCGATCCATGTGAAAAAGACGAGCGGCAGCAAATCTTAAAACGCCGAACCAGACCAGAGTCTTTCCTGATTCCTAACGTTTCCTTCCTTTTTAGGTTGTGCTGTGTTTCGACCGTGTGTTCTGGGACCCCAGTGTAAATTTGTTTGGTCACGTTGGCAGCACAACAGCCAGCCGAGGAGAGCTTTTCCTGTTTTGGAATCTTTACAAAGGTAGTTGGCACCAAAGCATGTAAATATTTTCATAGGCGCCTTTGGCTGAAATCCAAACTCTGGTCCACCTCTGGGGTGGTGGAGTTGGATGGAGTGGGGCTCTGCCAGCCCTCAGGGGGACACCAGTGTTCTGCCCTCAAAATTGTGTCCTGAAGTACAGGAATCCCCCGTTCTGGGATAGGGCTGAGCTTGCCTGGCGCCCACTGACCCAGTCCTGTTGCTGTTAGCTGACTGCATTTGATCTGATCCAGCCCCCTGACCCCTTGCTATGCCAGCTTCTGGTTGCATGTCTCACCATAAAAACTAAAAAACTATCAGTCCACCTCGCTCAGTGTTGCTCAATGTCACTGGCAGCAGCTCAGCTGGGCAGTGAGAAGTCTTTGCCTAGGCAATTTTGGTTGAAGTGACCTCCCTTTTCTCACTTCTCAGTTGGAGACACTGCATTTATTGTCAGAAGCAATACACATAACTTAAGAAATTCCTAAGTGGTTAGAAATGACTCCTACTTGGCACCATCTTTGCCTTCTGTGCCCTCTTGAGATGATAAACTCTGTCTCCTTAAGAAACAAAAGCCATCAGTTTTTGTTTGGGTCTTTATCTCAGTGAGAAATCTTGTTATTTAGGCTGTTTGCCAGAGAACCTTAATAAAGCACATTCCTGTGCAGGATGAAACTAAAGCTGTTTGGCTAGCGCTTGCGTTCTGCTGATGTCCCAATAATCTTTTCCACAGCACCAATTCTTCTGGCCTTGGTGGCAGGTGAAGCAGCCGGAATAATGGAGAACATCAGTGATGATGTCATTGTCGGGCGCTGTCTTGCAATTCTCAAGGGCATTTTTGGCAGCAGTGCTGTCCCTCAGGTATCACGTTGAACTCTTTATAGTTCCATATTCAGGTAGGTAGCCGTGTTGGTCTGATGCAGTCTATATATATATATAATTGTCCAGTAGCACCTTAGAGACCAACAAAGTTTGTTCTTGGTATAAGCTTTCATGTGCATGCACACTTCTTCAGTTCCATATGTTCAGGATCCTAGCCAACCTTACCTTTATCAGTGTGTGGCACAATATGAGCCTCTAGATACCACCTATAGCATGATCAAATTTTCCAGCTTCCTTAAAGGGATTTATGATTAGACAAAGCCTTCCAACAGAGAAGGGCCATTTCTAAAATGAGGAAAAAGCCTAAACCCTGTAGGTTAGGATTGCGTACTTTAGGCTGGCTATTGGCTGCAAAGAGAATCACTTCCTTAGGCTTTGTTTTCACCACCTGCTGCCCTCAGCTAGAACTGCTTGGACTCCCTTCCCTCACTCTGGATGCTCCTGCTTCCCATTCTGCAGACATGGGCCAACCTTGAAAGCATAGCTGACAGGAGAATAATTGGGCATTGCTTCCAGGCTTTTCAGGGCTTTCTGTTACTTGCAGTTTTCCTCAGCCTAGGAAAAAAACATGTGAGTATGTGTGCCTGCACACATCCTCCTAGTATCAGGGACTTCACGAAACGTTACACACTTGAGTAACCTCTCCCCCCCCCCTTTCTTTGTCCTCAGCCTAAGGAAACAGTAGTATCTCGTTGGAGGGCAGACCCCTGGGCCAGAGGATCCTATTCCTATGTAGCAGCTGGATCTTCAGGAAATGATTATGACTTGATGGCTCAGCCAATTACTCCGGGACCAGCCATTCCAGGAGCTCCCCAGGTGAGAACTGCATTCAGATTAGCACCAAGAAGCAGCAGGAACCTTTGACTTTGCACCACAATTTTTCCCTGGAACATTTCTTTATATTTATAAATTTATTTTTATTATTAATCTCATCCCACTTGGCTTCCTTGTCTAGCATGGGAGGGAACTGCTTTTTTTCTTAATTACAAGTATCAGTACAACTCCTCATGAAAGCAACCTTTTTACTTTTCTTCGGCATTTGGGGGGGGGGGAATCAAAAGGGAAGATCAAAAAAACCTGGCAACTTTGCTGGTTGTTAACATTGACTAGGAGCAACCCATAGCTGGGTGCTATTCAGGCCATAGAAGGATCTGATGTCTGCCCTTTGGGCTCACTCTGCAGTAGGTGTAAGGAATTATGAATAATGGGAATGAAGGAACAGTTCCCTCTTGCCACTCCCCACCCACCAAATGTGTTTGCAAACTCTAGAAAGGAGGACATGAGGCTAAATTTAAGGTGCAACTTGGGAATTGGTCCTGCTATCTGCTTCTGAAACCAAGCAAGCAAGCGGCCTTACCCCAGTGCACTTGGGTCATTCTATTCAAGCACACACACAGAAGTGAGTTTAAACCAGCTTGAGATGCTGAATATGTTTTTCAAGTTCACGACAACCTGTGGTTAAATTTGTACTCTGCATCCCTTTAGACCGCAGGGAGGAAAACTGGTCCTCTGCCACATTGAAATGCCGAACACATTTCTTCTACTCTCTCTGTGGGCAATCCATATGGGATGCTTGATTCTGGGAAAAACAAACAAATGATAAAATTATTCCCAGGCGTCACTTGGAGTGACAGCTTTTTAGGAAACCTTCCTTGTTTTGCAGGTATGCTATATTCAGCAGGTAAACTGGGGCTCTTGTAACATTGCCAATCTCTCATTTCTTTTCCAGCCAATTCCCCGCCTGTTCTTTGCAGGAGAACATACAATTCGCAACTACCCAGCGACTGTTCACGGAGCTCTGCTGAGTGGACTGAGAGAAGCTGGACGCATTGCAGACCAGTTTCTCGGTGCAATGTACACACTGCCTCGCCAAGCTACTCCTGTTGCAGCTGCACAGCAGGCTCCTGCCATGTAACAATTCAGTAGGTTATGAATGCCTTGCATGGACTCGTGATTAGAAGTGGCCTTCCTGGTCTGTAGCACTACCAATTATAAGGCATAACCAGGAGTCAAAAGCATTGCCCCTGTTGAGCGGCCTTCCTAGACTTCAGTCATCCAAGAATGCAGTTCCTGACTGCCACAGCAGCCTCGATTCTCTGGAGCGGTGCACCTTCTCCCCCAAATCCAGACTTCTGGTCTCTCTTGACAGAGATCTCTTTTGGTACAGATGCATTTTTGTTTGTTTCTTTCCAGGGTTTAGAACTCTTGTAAGTTAGCTGCTGTTAGTCACTAAGGTAAGATTGTCTTATGTGGGTTTTGTTTTGGGAAGCAAAAATAAAACTTCCTTTTTTATAAAAACACGGACAACAGAAACACAGTTTCTTTTCATTTTGAGTATGATGCAGGATGCAATGCCCTACTCTCTGCTATATGCAACTAAAGTTAGATTAGATGCCATTTAAGGATCCTCAGAGATGTGAGGGGAAATGGCTGAGTAACTCAAAGTGCTTAGAATAATGGGTACATTGAATCTGGGACAGTTACAGATAAATGCTGGTTCTTGCTAGGAAGCTAAAGGGGTGGAATCGGTTTTGGTGCAGGCAAAGTATGTGCTGGGATTTGATGCCAAGTAAGGGGAAGTAGTGGAGGACAGAGGTGCCTGGCGTGCTCTGGTCCATGGGGTCACGAAGAGTCGGACACGACTAAACAACAACAAAGGGGATATTCAAAGGCCAGGACAAGAAAGAACAAAATTGGAGGACACCAAGGACTGAGAAACTATATTTATACTTGTTTTGTAGTGAGAGTCCACTTTCCTGGCCAGGCTCTGAATCCTGTGTTTCATGGCCCAGTGTCTCATCCAGTCCTACCTTCATTTGACAGGGTTGCCAGAGGCCAGCGGCAAGAGGTACCTGATATGCACAAGGGCAGGTTTTCTTGTAAATCCTATTCTATTATTGGGCTTAATTTCAGGGACAAAAATTGTATTGTGCAGGTCCAAAAAATGCCTGAAAAAGTGCTAACTATTTAGCAACCATGTGGATCTTGAACAAGTCAATGCAGTTCTCTGTATTTAGAGCTGTTGCCAAAACACTGTGGGTGGAGTATGCAAAATTGGCTGGGCTTTATTCTTCACAAGAAGCAAAAGGTTTTTTTCCATCTCAAAGCAATTCACACATTTGAGTAACATACAAATAGTTTTATTGATTAAGTACTGTAGAACAGACAGCATTAGTCAGAAGATAACATGCGGACAAATGTTTGCATTTAAACATAGCATGCAGACTTGTTGCTCTGTGACTAGCAGGCTAGCACCACCTGCTGTCCCATGTGCAGGCAGGTTTGGGAGGTGAAAGAGCAGGGCCTTTCCCCAGCTGAACATACTAGCACCACAGTGCTTCCTTTTGAGTCAGGAGTGGAGTGATTGGGACAGTGCTGGTAGCTTCCTGGGTTCTGGAGGGCTGGCAAATGAGGATCTCTGAACACATTTTGCTAAAAATTGCACTTGCTTTCTCTTAACCTGAAAGCGAGGGAATGTTAAGGCAGGAGATGCTCATCTGCCTGCAAGCACACCATGTCAGGATTCGACAATCCCTTTCCACCCAGTCTTAACATTAGCAAGTAGAAAAAATATATTTTCATCTCTTAAAAATACATTCCACACAATCTGAAGGATTCTCAAGTGTTTATAAATGGCAGGAAGACCGGCGTGCCTTCCCCCTTGTGCAGACGTGGAAGGAGTAGACTGTACTCCCAACAGCCACAGAAAGGTTGAGCAAATCCTTTGGTCTCTAGCCAAGAGGAAAGAGAAAGGGGAGGAAGGATGTGGGCCCTGCACTGCAGTACCTTCACCACTTTATCCCTCTTTGGATATAAAGTTGGGGTTTCAACTGAAGCAGCAAGATCTTTTGTGGGGTTGTCTTCCACTGATGCCCAGGGTAGAGGGGTGGCATCATGTAAGCCTCTCTCATCTCATATACACATTTTGAGAAGGGGAAATGTCAATTCCAAAAAGCCTGTGAGACAATAAATGTCCTGGCTGCTTGCATACGTATGGGTCCCTTCTGACAAATCTATGGCTAAAACTCTAGGTTCTTGGCACTCTTGACATCTTGTCGTAAAACCAGAGATGCACTAATGGCCTGAGGAAGTATGGCGTTACCCTACACTGGGCTGGCCTACCCAAGTATTGTCAGTGGACTGGCTCTCTTTCAAGGCCTTGTGAATCCAGGACTGTCTGCATGCAAATCATCTGCTCTACCACTGAGCTATGGTCTCTCTCTGGCTTTTCATCGGAGAAGCGGTTCTGCTTTTTGCAATGAAGGGAGGTGAAGGAGCAGATCTTACTAGGCTATGCAACATTGTGCGGGCTGTACATGAGGGCAATTCTGACCTCCAGTTGGAAGAAGTTGCTTTTTTTTTTTTTTGTTTCTCGACATAAAAAGGAATAATCACATGCAGCACATATAATTACAACACTGGAATTGTTTTTTGTTTTGTTTTTTTTTACACACAAATTTTCAGCATTAGAAAGTCCCTGGGGGATTCCTACTGTATTTATATGCTACAGTTAAAACAAAAATTAACTTGCCAAAATGCTGGCAAATATTTACAAATACACTTTACAGCTGTTTATTTTTTAAGTGTGCAACTTGAGCCAAACAGTCTCTTGTTTCCTGAACTCACCACTGCTAGTTCAATAATACAATCAGCTCCTATTGCACTCAGGGTTAAGGTCTCCTTAGGGTTTTGTCATCCTTTTTTTATGGGGCCATCAATAAAATAACCCCCAACCGATACTGTAACGGATATTTACATTCATTCCTTATGCTTAGTGAAATGTAAGACTATCAACAGACCCCAGGCCTGAAAAACATAAAAAGGGGGGAGGGGTGTCCTCTGCTCTGAAGCAATAAACTAGCTAAAATAACTCAGGACAATTTCATTTCTCTTTTACGGGTAGGTGGGGGATCCATAACGTGCCTTCAGAAAGGAGGCAGCAACCTCATCCATCAAGCCCTATTGCTGAAGCTGAGGCAGATTCCTTGGTTAAGCAAGGCCAGGTGTTACGGTTATAAAAGCTTCCTATCTAATCTGAAGGGGGGGGGCTTGTATTCTTCCTCTTCCCAGCTGCTCAAGTATGTTCTAGGAATGTGGAACCTGTGGCCTTCCAGCAATAGTTGACTCGCAATTCCCCATCAGCCACACCCAGGATGGTGGTCAAACTCTAGCTGGAGGGCTCACAACGCTCCCCATCTAGGGAACAAAGGCCTAAGACACAGATAACTGGTTCCTTTTAAGTTTTCCCTTTTTGTAAAAATCTGGACTGCCACTGGGTCATTTCTTCCCCAGCAAAGATGAAGAGGACTTTGCTATGTCCACTTGGCAAGGGAAAGGTATCAGTACAGCTTTCAGAGGTGCTATCAGCCTAGGAACAAGGACACTTGCCCTCATCCTTCTGTGTATGGCTCAAATGCCAAACCCTTTATTCTTGGGCGACTTTTACTTGGACCCAGATACCTAGCTTTCTGACCCTGAGCACTCAGTCCTGGAGAAAGCGTTCAGAACGATCTTTTGCGCCAGTGTGTGTATGGTTAAATTTGTGAACGCATTAGTCATGCAGAAAATAGTTTCAAATTCAAGTGAATCTCTAGCTCTTATGGTAAATGGAGTGCTCAGAGGGGGTGGAGCATTTTCCAGATCCTGTGAGAAGTTTGCAGTGTTGAATGTGGACAAGCCAGCTTTCCAACAGGGGGGGAAATTACCTGGGTTGTCGTATGCATGGTGGGGCTTCTTTTGCACCAGAAAATCAGGCAGGGCATTCTAAGGGCACTCGAAAGTGTCACTGCTTTGAACAGGCACAATGAAAATGGCTCCGATTTCATCATGCAGAGGAAGGGAAATGTCCATTAAGGCTGCATTCCCAAGTATAATTACAGACAAACAAGTCCAAGAGGAACTTATTTTCATATAAATAAGTTTCAGTAAGGGGCTATTTTATCACTTTATGAACTAGTGGTCTTGGAGCTGGTGCACGTCACAGGAAATTCTAAGCATTTATGACCCAGCCAAACAAATGGCTCAGATAGCAACACCCCCCTCCCCGTTGGTTGGTGGCTTGCTTTAATTTTCAAGTAGGCTGAGATCCAACATCAGCGTTGAATCAAACTTTTCAGGTGCTAAAGTGCTTTCTTGAATCAACTACGACATGGCTTTAAAAATTTTTTTAGCAAAAACAATCACCATCCTACTTTGGATTAAATCACAGCCCCCTGTTGAACGCTAGACAGGCACCATCTGAGCATAACAGGGGTGCGCCAGTTCAAAATGGCTGCTTACAGATCAGTTATTGCTGAGACCTTTATGTAAACAGACTACCCATCAATGGAAGCAAGCTAAAATCTGTGAAATGGCCCCCCAGTGAGAGGCCTGTAATTGGTGAATGAAAGTGGGACCACGGATATGCTGTGATTACATCACAAAGAGACGGGAGCATGAAACACAAGGTTCTAGACTCAACACTGAAAATATGCGTGAAAGAGCGTGGGCAATACTTGAGATGATCTCATTGTTTGGCTTCTGTGTCTCCCCCAGTCCACTGACCAGCGGGAGAGCACGTGAAAATGTGAATGATGCATACAAGTTGCAGAAGTTAACTTTTGTTAGCACAGTTCGGGTAATAATTATTTTTAAAAGATGGTGCACACCCTTCTGCCCACCTCTGTGAGAAATCAGTAGGGAACAATGGTGCCTTTTATAGCATTGCTAGCCAAAACCAGGGGCATGTAAACTTATTCTTAGAACACTCATGCTTCAAGATCCTCCTGAAGCTTAACCACTTGGTCCGATAAATGGCACCATTGTCCGCATTCTGTGCCTCTCACATCTGAATCAGTTAAAATAACGTTTTTTAAAACCTTTGGCTGAATTAAAAACTGTCGGGTAAAGGATAGAGTAGGAACCACAGCAAACCTCAGTTATTTCTAAAGGTTCACAATGTGTGTGTGTTTTTTTTAAAAAGGCAAAGTGGCGAATTTGGGGTGTTTTTTTCCTAAGCCAGGTTTTCCATCTGAAACCCTGGAAGCCTAGCCTGATGCTCTTGGCTTTTCAACAGAGTCGTAGGCCTCACCTAACTGTGCATGTGTGAACTCCGGGCAGAATGAGTGCACTTCATGCACCAAACCCATGTGGCGATGCATTGCTAATGCACATTAAACTCTATCTAACTTTTAAAACATTGTTTTGTTCCCAATTCCTTTTCATGGGGAGTGAAACTGAGCTGCCTCCTTCTTAAGTCTGAATGGATTACCTCTGCTTGGAGGGAGAGTGGCGGGGGCACTGTTCCTCGTGGGAACAGTGCTGTCCGATCTGCCACGAAATGGATACCTAGAAAGGCCTGGCAGGGGAGGTGGGTACAAAACACTTACGTTTACAGCAGCATCTAAGCCTTATGTGCCAAATGCATGGGGGAAGACTGAGAAGACTAGGCCAAGGTGAGCAGCTGCCGTGGCACTGGTGGGGTCCAACGTTCTGTCTGCTGACTCGGGTGCAGAAGAGCGCAATCGCTGTGTCTCTGGATGAGTCTCTGCTGGTCCCTTTGCCCATGCAAGTGAAGAGTGAGGTAGCAGAAATAAAGGAATAACACCACCTCCCCAGATATGTTGAGGTGCTGAACAAAGGAGCCTCTTCTTCCCCACTTCTCTGAGCAGGCTGTGCCAAATGCCCAGTGGCTGCCCCAGTCCTGAGGTGTGGTGCAGCCCACACTGAGGCCTCAGGCTGTTAGTTCAAGTAATGCGCCACAGGCTCTTCCAAGCAAGCAAGGCCCCACGGAGCACTCCGCCTCCTTTGGCTGGGATGACATTGGGCTTGGGGTGTCGGTGAGGTTTCTTGCTCCGCCTGATTTGAGTCTAGCCAGAGTTTGGATCCTGCGAGGCTTGCGGGTGAGGAAGGAAGCGAAGGCAAGAACTCAAGCGTTTGGGGAGGGAAGGGGCTGCTTCCTTAGCACCCAGCCTGCAGAGCGGGAGATGGGCGAAAATCTTGGATGTCATGCTTATTGCTTATGTGTCAGGCTCAGGCAGAAGTACTTGCAAATGGCCAAGCCACTGCAGTGCAGGTATGCTGCGAGAGAGCTATGGCTGGTGGGAAGCAATGGCCTTGGAGTGGGGTTCCTGGAACTGCGTCATTCCCCTCCCCGCACCATCCTTTCCGGAGCGGCATCTCGGAGAGTACTTGCGGCACACGGAAACCAGCTTCAATGTAAACTTCTTTCAGAAGATGGAACAGCAAAAATCCGGCAAGGAATGGAAATTCTCAACGTGCCGTTCTGGGCTCTTGAGATCCGGCAAGCAGGTGTGTCTGGGGCAGTTCTCGCTTCTTGCAGTGGTTACCAACACCCACCCGCACACACAAAAACACACCTCTTGCTTCTCCAGGAAAAAGGGCGGCAGATGGCAGAGGTCAAGGCTGTTCGCCTCAAAGGTTTGTCCAACCTGATCCAAAGTTATTGGGTACCTCCTAGAGAGATGCAGAGCCATTCACCAGCCATAGGTTACCATTGATTCAAGCTCAATAAGATTTCAGAGTGGGATTCCCCTGAGCGAAGTGTCTGCGGCCTCCTCCAGGGAGGAGAAGGAAAACACAAAGCCACCTTTTAAAAAATAAAAAAATAAAATCCACCCAAGGCTAGTGGGCAGAAAGGACCTTGAGCACTGAAGGGGTTAAAAGTCAGGCACTGTACATGTCCCTGTGTTGGACTGGCTGCAGGGAAGAGACCAGTGTAGGGATGAAGAATGAAGCTCAGCTTCTGGAGGTCATGCAACTGGAGGGGGAAAGACCCTAGGAAGAGAGAGAAGAAGAAAAAGGTCACCACATTAAGCCATCAGACAATAATTCTTTTTCACAGATCACTACTGCTTTGCTCTTCCTGGTCTGCGCAGTCACACCTACGGGCGTCAGAAGAAGAGTACTGCAGGGTCAGATCAAATCCCCATCTAGTGCATCTAGCGTCGTTTTCACAATGGCCAACCAGAAGGGAAACCTGGAAGCAGGACCGAATCCCCCGACAGGGTGAGCTCCCATTGCTCTGTCCCAGCTCCTGCCAACCTGGCAGTTTGAAAGCACACCAGTGCAAGTAGATAAATACCGTATTTTTCGCTCTATAACACGCACCTGACCATAACACGCACGTAGTTTTTAGAGGAGGAAAACAAGAAAAAAATATTCTAAACAAAACAGTGGATGTATGATTTTTGTGGTTCATGCTGTGGCCACAGACATGTGATCTGACGGTGAGTTTGGGGTAGCCCAATGCAAAAATCCTGAGGATCCATGTGGGTCCATGCTTTGTAACCACGTTTTTGCACCACTGCGGCCCCATGAAACAGAGGGTGCGTGTGTGTTTTTTGTGCAGGCTGTAGCCATGGACATGCTATGTGATCTGATGGTGAATTTGGGGTGACCCAGTGCAAAAATCCTGAGGATCCATGTGGATCCGTGCTTTGTAACCACGTTTTAAGTGGGGAGGGAAGGAAAAGCACTCAAGGGACAAGCAGCACGCGTGGGGTGTGTGGAGAAGGATGCTGCTAATAATGCAGGAGAGGCTCCTCTCCGGCTTTGCTCCTTTAGAACAAGCAGGCTCTGCGTCTCTCCTTCCTCCCCAGCAAGGAAACCACGATAGTAACCACTCTGAGACAAATCAAGAAAAATTGCGACCAACACTCTCCCCCAACAAGCGCAGTGAGGTCAAAACACACACACACAGAGAGAGAGAGAGAGAGAGAGAGAGAACTGGCCTTAAAGTCGCAGGGCGCTGGGGGAGTGAATGGGAAGCAAGAGAAGGAGAACGATCCCTCACACACACACAGACACACAGAGTGTCAATTCTAAAGTCGCAGGGGCGCTGAGAGAGCCAGGGGCGCAGGGAGAGTGAACGGGAAGCAAGGGGAGAAGGAGCCCTCACACACACAGAGAGACACAGAGTGTCAATTCTAAAGTCGCAGGGAGAGTGAACGGGAAGCAAGAGGAGAAGGAGCCTTACACACACACAGACACACAGAGTGTGGATTCTAAAGTCGCAGGGAGAGTGAACGGGAAGCAAGAGGAGAAGGAGCCCTCATACACACAGACACACAGAGTGTGGATTCTAAAGTCGCAGGGAGAGTGAAGGGGAAGCAAGAGGAGAAGGAGCCCTTACACACACACAGACACAGAGTGTGGATTCTAAAGTCGCAGGGAGAGTGAACGGGGAAGCAAGAGGAGAAGGAGCCCTTACACACACACAGACACACAGAGTGTGGATTCTAAAGTCGCAGGGAGAGTGAACGGGAAGCAAGAGGAGAAGGAGCCCTCTCACACACACAGACACACAGAGTGTCAATTCTAAAGTCACAGGGAGAGTGAACGGGAAGCAAGGGGAGAAGGAGCCCTTACACACACACAGACACACAGAGTGTGGATTCTAAAGTCGCAGGGAGAGTGAACGGGAAGCAAGAGGAGAAGGAGCCCTCATACACACAGACACACAGAGTGTGGATTCTAAAGTCGCAAGGAGAGTGAAGGGGAAGCAAGAGGAGAAGGAGCCCTTACACACACACAGACACACAGAGTGTGGATTCTAAAGTCGCAGGGAGAGTGAACGGGAAGCAAGGGGAGAAGGAGCCCTCACACACAGAGAGAGACACAGAGTGTCAATTCTAAAGTCGCAGGGAGAGTGAACGGGAAGCAAGAGGAGAAGGAGCCCTCATACACACAGACACAGAGAGTGTGGATTCTAAAGTCGCAGGGAGAGTGAAGGGGAAGCAGGAGGAGGAGAACGATAGCTCAAGCACACACACACAGCCCCTACAGTGGCTAATCCAAAATCGGACAGCAAAAAACTGCAGGCAGGGACAGAGAGCAGGGGTTGTTTTAAAGCAGCCAACTCCCGCTCTGCTTCTCTCCCTCCTCCCCGGCTCTGCTAGCTTACAGGAGCCGCTTACACCCGCTTTGCTGTTTCAAAGCGAGCCACGGGCTGCTCACGACTGCAGGATATTCCCCCGCCATCTGTAGGCATTCGCTCCATAACACGCACAGACATTTCCCCTTACTTTCTAGGAGGAAAAATCTGCGTGTTATGGAGCGAAATTTACGGTAGGTGGGAAGGTAAACGGTGTTTCCGTGCACTCTGGTTTCCATCATGGTGATCCGTTGCGCCAGAAGCGGTTTAGTCATGCTGGCCACATGACCTGAAAAGCTGTCTGTGGACAAACGCCGGCTCCCTCGGCCTGAAAGCGAGAGGAGCGCCGCAACCCCATAGTTGCCTTTGACTGGACTTAACCGTCCAGGGGTCCTTTACCTCCTCCCCCCTTTTTTTTACTCCCAGTAAATGTTATACATAGACAGACTGCATACATTTGCAGGCCCAATTCAAAGTTCCAGTTCTAAACTACAAAGCCTTTTTACAGATCCCAATATCTTAGGGAACATTTCTCCCTGTATGCATCAACCTCTTGGAGCCTTATGTTATCTGAGCCTTCCTCTTCATGTCTACTCCAGGAGAAGTACAGAAGGCTGCCAAGAAAGAGGGTCTTGCCAGGAGTGGCCCCTCCGACTGTGGATTGCTCTCCCCAGGAGGCCCACCTGGCATCAACCTTGTAATTCTTTTCAGTGGTAGGTTAAGATTTACCTCTAGGTGGTTTGCTAGTTTTTGTTACTAGCTGTTTTGATGGTGATTATGCTAATGTTTGTGCGGGTGGTTGGAGGTTTTCAGTAATTTGAAGTTGTGGTCAGTTTGTTCTTGGTTTCCTGAAATGGAATCCATTTTTATACACCTTCTGTCCTACACAAACCACCTTGAGATCGTACGGCATGAAGCCATATACATGGAGCAATACATTATCATCACCATTCATGGAAAGCCTGTGACATTTTTGCACATGCAGGGAGACTTCGATCAGATGCTTTCAAGCAAGTGATTTGCATGTTGCCCCGTCCAACTTAAGCACATGGCTGAGATGGGCACTACCCATAAGATGACAAAGTGGGGACAAGGACCTCTTGTTTAAAACAACACGAACATACCTCAACATCAACAGGCTCAGTTGTCTTCTGAGCAGCCTTTGGTCCAACGCCTCCGCTCCTCAGCCTTGCTGTCCGACAGCTGGCGTGTCGCCTCCAGCCTGGCGTCTGGCCTCTTCCTCGGTGTCTCAGCCCGGGCAAGCTGCTCAGAGGAGCCAAACGGTTTTCTTCTGGAACTGGGAACAAAATCTTTGTTTTCCTCCTGTACCAGAACCGGGAAAAAGGTTGGGTGCTTTAATATGATGGAGCCCTGCAGGAGTTGCTTCCAGACACAGAGTCTGGGCAAAGCCGTCGAGCCCTGCCCTCTCACTTCCCCCAGGGTGAGTTTTCCCTCCCCAAAGCGCGACTCCATGGCTTGGTAGGAAGGCTGTGAGCTTCCTAAAAACATAAGCCACACAGTCCCCAAGTCTCCCTCTCCAGCCCTGCTTTCCCTTTCGGTCAGCCACAGGGCTCTCTCATTTCCTTTCTTCTCCTTGCAGCTAGGATATCAATAGTGGGAAAGTGAGAAACATCCTCAGCCCCCTCCACCGAAAACTGGTACCAGGCGTATTTGATGTCTGGCTTTGATGGAGAAATTACTCATAATTTGAGACTGGCCAAAGGCCAAGCTAAACCAGACACATTGGAAAATGTGCGGTTTCCATTTCTGACTTTTATTAATTCCACCTCCAAAGGTCTGAAGCCCTCTGCTCTGTATGCTGGCTTTGCGAGAGACTCTGTGCATTTGCATGACTGGTTCACCCTTTTTCTTGTTCTGTGTTTGGCACACTGGCTTTGTAGCCCCACCTGCCATGTATCTTAATTCACCAGGCCGGGGGGGGGGGGGAGAGAATGATATGAGATCTGCATTTGTTCAATTGTACTTTACTGATCTTTTTTTGATCTTGGATGAAAAATTGCTAAAATGCCTTAAAAAGAAAAAGAAACCAAGAAGGGTAGCTGTGGCCAGCAAGGAGCCTCCTCTCATTGCCTTCCAGTGGATTTAGAAATGCCTATCTGCGCAAATGCAATGTTGAGACATGGAAGTTAAGAACTGCTGCAGCACTCACAAAGTCCTGGGCCAGCAAATAGGAGAGAAATAGGAAGATCAAAACATAATAATAATAATAATAATAATAATAATAATAATAATAATTCTCAACACTGGCTCCAGCCTGGTGGAACGCTCTGTCTCATGAGACCAGGGCCCTGCAGGATCTGATTTCTTTTCGCAGGGCCTGTAAGACAGAGTTGTTCCGCCTGGCCTTTGGCTTAGAATCAGTTTGATTCCCTCCCCCTCTTTCTTTTTCCTTTCTCCTCCTGTGAAGAGGCTGCATCCTAATGTTTTAATGTTGTATTTTAATCTTGTTTTTAAAATGGTATTTTAATCAACATGTTGTATTTTTAATCAACCAATTATTATTGGTTGTTAGCTGCCCTGAGCCTGGTCTTGGTTGGGGAGGGCGGGGTATAAATTAAAGTTGTTGTTGTTGCTGCTGCTGCTGTGTGTATATCCCACCTTTTTCTCCAAGGCGCTCAAGGTGGCAAACTTTTTTCTCCCCTCACCTCATTTAATCAACAACAACCCTGTGAGGTAGGTTGGGTTGGGAGGTAGTGACTGGCCCCAAATCACCCAGCCAGTTTCATGGCCACATGGGGATTTGAACCCTAGTCTCTCAGGCACTAGTCCAACCAGCGTACCAATGAACCGCTCTGGGCATAACAGTCTGACAACTTACAATTTATTAGGTGGTCCAATATTTCCCTCCCTCCCTCTCTTTCTTTTTTTTAAATCATCTTCAACTTCCTTGGAGCACCTTAGAGCACAGCACCACATGCAGAAAATGCCTTTTAAAATGCTCTAGGAAGCAACCGCACATCATATTGGGCAGGCCCCCTCCTGGGGTATCGTAAGGAGGAAAAAGATGTACAGTACCTTTTAGGGGCATTGTATTGAGGGGGAAAGGTGGCTGCCTCCATAAGTTCAAAAGGGGCAGCAATCTTTTTCTCAGGAGGGGACTGCACTTTTGACATCTGCCAGGAGGGCATTCTGCAGGGTGGGTAACAACAACCAAAATTTCCCTGCAATTTCACTTCTCACAAAAGACAGAACTGCCAGAAGGCCCTCAAAGCTAGTGCCCAGGCTGAATGATGCAGGTAGAGATGCACCTTCAGGTATACTGGGCCAAAGCCATTTAGGGCTTTAAAGGTCAGCACCAACACTTTGAATTGTGCTCGGAAATGTACTGGGAGCCAATGTAGATCTTGTAGCACCGGTGTTAGATGGTTCCAGCAGCCACTCCCAGTCACCTGTCTAGCAGCCACATTCTGGATTGGCTGTAGTTTCCAAATCACCTTCAAAGGCAGCCTCATGTAGAGCGCACTGCAGTAATCCAAATGGGACTTCATTGGCGTGTGCGTTTAAAAATAATAATAATAATACTGCACTTGCAGGCTACCACCAGCAGAGGGAACTACAGCACAAGGCCGAGCTTTAATTTCAAGCTGGTATTATTCAAGTAGGGGCAGTAGCCAAACCCAGAAACGTTCAAAAATCATTCCGTATGCGTCCCTCAGAATCACATGTCCTTTAAAACAAAAAGTGCATGCACGCACACACTTTTAATTGTTGCCTTCTGCTTCCTCGAGCATTCGGAAGGCTAGGCGCTTGAGGTTTGCTAAGTCTTCCCTCCACCTGAAATGTTATGAATGTTTCGCTGATTATATTATTCGAACAAATGGCTATCACCAGAAAGGGAAGACCCTCCCTAATGTCAGGGCTTTCCCATTTCCAATTTTTCCTGCACACAGGTGGGCAAAAGCAACAGGATTTGATTCTCATCTTCCATGTGTTCAAGAGACAGCTGTGAAACAAGAGATCGTCACTTAGGAACATAGGAAGCTACTCAGGCCAGTATCCCCAGGTTTTTAGGGGAAGCGGACATTCTCAGCAGTACCTGGAGATGCTGGGGACTGAACCTGGGACCTTCTGCATGCAAAGCACGTGTTCTACCACTGAGCTATGGCTCCTCTGCTAAAAGATTTTGTTTAGGGAAATGGCATAGGAGTGAGTGGAACTACGCGGCCTTTTGATTACAATCAAACTATTTCACTGGAATGTGATTTGTCAAGCTGCCTGGTCTTAGTACTCTGTGCTACCTGTGACAGTACTTTAAAAGGTCATGATTTCCACCAAAGCATCTTGAGAGCTGTAGTTTGTTTAGGATGGAGGGGGTTCTTAAAAGGTAAAGGGACCCCTGACCATTAGGTCCAGTCGCGGACAACTCTGGGGTTGAGGCGCTCATCTTGCTTTATTGACTGAGGGAGCCGGTGTACAGCTTCCGGATCATGTGGCCAGCATGACTAAGCTGCTTCTGGCAAACCAGAGCAGTGCACGGAAACGCCGTTTACCTTCCCGCCGGAGCGGTACCTCTTTATCTACTTGCACTTTTACGTGCTTTCAAACTGCTAGGTTGGCAGGAGCAGGGACCGAGCAACAGGAGCTCACCCCGTCATGGGGATTTGAACCGCCAACCTTCTGATTGGCAAGCCCTAGGCTCTGTGGTTTAACCCACAGTGCCACCCATGTTATTAGGAGACCTCTATTCCCCTCCCTCATAGAGCTACCACACTGAAAATTGTAGCTCTGTGAAGGGAAAAGGGATATTTCCTAACAAGAGATTCCCCCGCTTCTTAAGATCTTCCCCAAAAACTTTTGGCATATCTCAGTGTCTTCTGCAGCTCCTAAGATACAAATTTCTTAAAAAGTGATAAAACTCAACAAATAAATCCCAGGGCATGACTCTGAAGGGATACGATGCAGCAACTTCGCTGATGCTAAGCAGGGCTGGGTCTGGATGAAAGACCCCCGTGGATCACAGAATCGTGGCGTTGGAAGGGACCCTAAGGGTCATCTAGTTCAGCTCCCTGCAATGCAGGAATCTCAACAAAAGCATCCGTGGCAGAAAGAAAGGAAAGCTATAAATGAAGTACCGTATTGGCCCGAATATAAGCTGCACCCGAATGTAAGCCGCACATTTAAAATTGGAGGGGGGGGGAGAGAAAAAAATAAAAAATACCCGTAAGGTTGTGAAAGAAGCCACACTTTAACTTTTCAGTGTCGGAATTTGAGGGAAAAGTGAGGCTTATATTCAAGCCAATACGGTAAATGAAATCCTTCAGTAGCCAATGCTGATTGCACTTTATGCTCATGATTCAAGTTTTTCTGAGATTGATCAGTTTCCTGTCGAGCTATATAATGCACTGTCGTTAGACCCATTTTCCTATCGTTGATTAATCCGCAGATAACGCCCTTGTAAGCCGGGCGATTAAGACTCTTGTTACACTGTATTTGCTAATGATTTTGAAATACGTTTACTTTTGTATCAGTGTATCCTTAATGCATTTATATTTGTATGTACTTTTTTTTTTTTTGGTCCATGCATTATGTATATATGAGGTGTCGCTGTGGTTGTTTTTCATTTCCACTGTCAGCAGGTGTTTAAGTCTGAGAAACGATATATATCTCCTACCTGTGACAGTATTGGGGCAATGGAAGGAACTGCCTAGGAGAGTCACAGGATATTTATAGCGCAGGTGTAAAAGAGCACAGAGAGGCAGCAGAGCTGATTTGGGTGGAATAAGTGCTTCCTGCCTTGCTGTATTCTAAATTAAGGTGCCAAAAGTGTAAGAAGGGTTTAAAATTTCATTTCTCACTGACATGGTTCTTATTAGCACTGTAAATACTGCCTACATAATTTATTTTTAACAGATGGGATGGGAAGTGCTGCAGTCTGGAATGCTTCTGTTCAGTTACGCCCTCTTCCAGGAAACTCCATTCCACACACAAACACACCCCCCATAGTTTTGTGTGAACACCCAACAAACAGCCGGTCGTTATTCTGTGCCCAGTGGTGGGGTGTTTTTTTTCATTCTTTTCTTCTTCAATTAAACTTATAACCCCAAGGCCCATTGATTTCAGTGAAACCTAGGCACACTTTGGGCTGGTTAAGACAAGCCCGCCTTCACACATTAGTCACATGATGGGAGATCACGTGATTACAGGGCCTTGGGACTGCACTGCCACCACTGCTGAAGCAAGGCTCCCCTTGGGTCTACCTGGCTGAAGCAAAAAAGCCTATATGCATAAAAGTCTACATTTTGAATACCATTCTGATCGCCTCGCCTCAAAAAGGATATATTTAGAGTTGGAAAAGGTTCAGGAAAGAGCAACTAGAATTATCAAGGGGATGGAGCAACTCTTCTGGGCTGCATCAACAGAAGTATAGTGTCCAGATCAAAAGAAGAGTCCCACTCTATTCTGCCTTGGTCAGACCACACCTGGAATACTGTGTCCAGTTCTAGGCACCACAATTTAAGAAGGATATTGACAAGCTGCAACGTGTGCAGACGAAGGCAACCAAGATGATCAAGGATCTGGAAGCCATGCCTTATGAGGAACGGTTGAAGGAGCTGGGTATGTTTAGCCCGGAGAAGAGGAGACTAGGAGGAGATATGATAGTCATCTTCAAATATATTAAGGACTGCCATATGGAGGAGGGAGCATGCTTGTTTTCTCCTGCTCTGGAGGGTAGGACTTGAACCAATGGCTTCAGGTTGCAAGAAAGGAGATTCTGACTAAACATTCGGGAAAAAATTTCTGACGGGAAGAACTGTTTGGCAGTGGAACAGACTCCCATGAGAGGTGGTAGACTCTCCTTCCCTGGAGGTTTTCAAGCAGAGGTTGGATGGCCATCTGTCAGGGATGCTTTAGCTGAGATTCCTGCATTGCAGGGGATTGGACTAGATGACCACTGGGTCTAAGATTCTATGCTCCTATGCATTTGGGTGAGTTGTTTTTTTTCATTTAGCAGCGGTTCTCAACCTGTGGGTCCCCAGATGTTGTTGGACTACAACTCCCATCATCCCTGAGCTCTGCCCTTGCTAGCTAGGGGTGATGGGAGTTGTAGTTCAACAACATCTGGGGACCCACAGGTTGAGAAAGGCTGATATAGAGGAAAGGCAAGCAAGAGGTGACACGATAGAATTTTATAAAAATTATGCATACTGTGGAGAAAGTGGGCAGAGAAGAGTTTACTTTGCTCCCTCCTAACACTAGAACTCAAGCGCCAATTAGTTATCTAAATATCGACAAGAATCTCTCCACTAGATTAGGTGCTACACTGACACCCCATCCCCAATGAACTGCACACAGAGAATATAAAGCAACTGACTGGATAGGGAGGGCCTGGGGTATTTTGGTGCCTGAGATAAACAATCTGAGTAGAGCTCATTCCCCACCTCCTCCACAGAGCACAATCACTGTATGATGAAGAAAACAACTCATTTCAGTTCATCAAATAAATGTGAAATTTATGACAACTCTGTGAAATAGTAATAATTATTTAAACGTGCACCCATCTCTCTCTCTCTCTCTCTCTCTCATTAGCATGGATTATGCTGGAAAGTTCCCCAAGGACCGTGCCCCAACAGGTCAGACATGTTAAGAGTACAGTTCTATAAATGTCTATGCAGACGAAAATCCCACAAGAATTCACTGAAGCTTAGTCCCAGGTAAATTGGTACAAAACTGTAGCCACAGTCTCTCTCACTTGGCCATCGATGATGACATCCTGGGTTTGTGCTTAGCCAGGCTTCCTCAAACTCAGCCCTCCAGATGTTCTGAGACTACCATTCCCATCATCCCTGACCACTGGTCCTGCTAGCTAGGGATCATGGGAGTTGCAGGCCCAAAACATATGGAGGGCCAAGGCTGAGGAAGCCTGTGCTTAGCTAAGGGATGGGGACAAGTCAGTACAGCACCTGATCCAATGAAGAGGTATGGGTTGCTGGTACTTAAATACATATTTGGTGTTTATTAGAATCTGGGCGACTCTGCTATTTGGGGTAAGGTAAGGTGGGTAGTGACAGGGCAGGGGGCCTTTTTCAGACGTGGCAACCCATTTACAGAATTCTGTAGCCAAACAGGCTTGCCTTACACACACTTTGTTGTCTTTTGAGAACCAGGGAAACCCAAGAAGTTTCCTTTCCACTGGATTTTTTTTTTTTTTGCGCAAGAAAGGAACAAGAGGGCTCCCTTCCGAGCAGCGGGAGCAACTCCCTCTGTTTCTTTCATCTCCCATATCCCACGGAAATGAGAAAAGCCCCCGTCTCCCCGATGCCAAATAATGCAGGGAAGGAAAATTATGACAAACACAAATGACAGCTGGCTCATAAGCCAAGTCAACATTTGTGGAGCCCTGCCCAAGGTCATGTACAGTGGTACCTCGGGTTACATTCGCTTCAGGTTACAGACTCCGCTAACCCAGAAATAGTGCTTAAGGTTAAGAACTTTGCTTCAGGATGAGAACAGAAATCAGGCTCCGGTGGCGCGGCGGCAGTAGGAGGCCCCATTAGCTAAAGTGGTGCTGCTTCAGGTTAAAAACAGTTTCAGGTTAAGTACAGACCTCCGGAACAAATTAAGTACTTAACCTGAGGTACCACTGTATTTTATATTTTACTATTTGACCGTTTTTATAATTTAAAAAGAACTCTGCAAGCGGCCTTCTATGAAGCTGCAAAAGGCAAATATATTATACAAATAAACACATACATAAAATATGCCAATGTTATTATTGTATTATCACATATCGAGGGAGGTGGGGAGGCCAAGACTGAGACAGATTCCGACTTTCCTAGCAAGTGTAGCCCATGCCCTCAAAAATGTTTCATCTTCCCCTTGAATTTTTTTTAAAGGTATTTCCCCACCTGTCTTGATTTAGGAATGCAAAAGTTTTACAGTAAAAGTTCGGAGCACACTTACCGGTAATACTGTGCAGCTCCAAGGGGAAGCAGTCGCAGGATCACTAATGCAGCTCCGCTGGCCAAGCATCTCGGATGCAGTTAAGCTACTTTTGGTCCTTCTAGAGTCTAATTCCACAGCATTCCAAGAGTTTATACCAGCGCTAGCCCTCCTGGAATTCTGCTCAATTGCATATATGCGTGCACTAGTCCCTTCTGGTTTGTGGGGGTCCGTAGATGACCTATATGGATTTCGAGGGGTTGCATTTGCAACCGCCTTCGTCGCAGAGTCCTCCGAAGATTGCAAGCCCCGCCGCGTTCGCCACGCACTTCTCACCGTGACGTGTTTGGTGTCGGGTGAGTTGGCCTCTGAAGCCCCGTGGCTCTTCCAGTTGATTGTCTCCATGGGCGGCTCGCTGTTCTTCTCACCGAATTCAGAAGGTTTTATCGTGATGCTGCTTTTCGAGACAACCGTTTCCACCCTGCTCCTAGGAGCAGGGTCCCCGTTCTTCTCAGCCTCGGGTAACTTCAGGGTTATATTGCTCTTGTTAATCGGTATCTCGTAAGGTGTGCCAGTCGCGTTTGTCCCCAGCGAAAGCTCATTCGGAAGCACTCGGATGTTGCTGGCAGATATGTGCTGCTGCTCTTTCGCGGCATCGCTCGCGCTGGTCCTTTGAGTCACAGGCTCAGATGGGTAAATGGTGATGCTGCTCGTCATTTTGTGCGACACCGTCTTAAAGACAGGCTGCTGCTTTTCAGAGCTGGCGTCTGGCCCTGTGCCACCCATGATTTCCTTCACGTCCTTTTCCACAATCGCAGGCTTGATGACGGCTTTAGACCTCAGTGCTTCTCTGGGACTGAACTGCCTTCTCGATTTCGTCCCTGTAAGGGCAGTGGCTGAAGAAGCCCTGGAGGACCTGCTGAGTTCTTCCTCGCTGCTAGTACTTTTATCGTTTTCAAAAGGAGATGTTCGAATACCCCTCTTGGAGCTTGCGAACTCTCTAGATGCAGGTTCCCTTTTCAGCCCTATGTCAGCAATAGCAGAAGCGGTTGCCATTTTACTTGTCTCTTCACTGGTGCTGAATTTTTCATGGCTGTTGATGTTGATAGCTCTGGCCCTTGCAGAAGTGGGTTTTAGGCCCCCGTTGTTAGAGTTTGCGGCTGAGGCAGCGGTCTGATCCATTTCTTCCTTCTGAGGATCTGAGGGACTCTGCAAGATATCTTCCTGACTTCTTGAAATGAGCCAAGATTTTGCTAAAGGTGAGGGCTTTACCATTTCGTGCGGAGGTTCTCTTTCCTGGGAGTTGACTGCCTTCGGAGAGCTCTCTTCCAAGTGCTGCCTGCGAGATGAGACCAAAGCGGTTTCCATCTTTGAGGTGGTAGGTTCAGCAGCTAACGTTTCCGTAGAGAGGTAATTCCTATAGGACAAAGCAGCTTCATTGGAGGCCCCACGGTGTGTTTTTGAGATGCGAGTCTCTGTCGAAAGAGCGGGTTGTTCTGCAACGTGAATCTTAATTCCCTTTTCAGAAGGCGATGTGGAGGTTTCCGTTTTGCTGGGCTTCTCTTCAAGTTCGTCAGACTTACAGTGATGAGCGTCGTTTGGTGATTGGGAGGTTTTTTCCACTTTGCTCCTCAACGCACTCTCGTTCTTGGGTTTCGAAGAGGCTTTCCAAGACTTGTGCTCCTGTGCTGCAGGTGGGTAACGACTAAGCACAGATGGCTGCTCTCTAGATTTCTTTACTTCCGCCGGTGGGTTTCCACTGTCTTTCTGCGAGGAAAAGTGCGTGCCCAGCGTGGATTTGTCTTCTGTCCGTTTAGCATCAGTTGCTAAGGTGTCCAATAACGCCGATGTGCTCGATGCTTTGGCTGCTCTCCTGCTATTCAGGTTAGGGCTTGTGACCCTCTTGCCGCCTTGGCTCTCGCTATTAAATGAGAATTCTCGGTTGCGTATTCTCCCCCGCCTGTGCTGAGGAGAAACTTCCCGAGACTTATGCTTAGAAACAGCTGACTCCGCTGTGACAGCCCTGTGTTTGGGCCTGTCGTGCTTCATTCGGCTGGGTAAGTTAATTTCCTCTGTTTCTGCCTCACCGTTCTCCAGCTCTTTCTGCTTCTTCATCTGCGCCTTTATTTCTTCAAGCTGGCCTATGAGGAGCTTGTTTTTGTTTTGCTCGCTCAAGTAGCTATCGTGCAGGTCATTATTCTTCGCTCTCAGGGTTTTGAGCTCCTCTTCTAAAGACTCGAAGTGTTTGATTTGAGTCTTTAGCTTCTCAATTTCTTGGTTGAGGTCCTTCACTTTGTTGTCTTCTTGATTCTTATTCTTCTGATTTTCTGATTTGTTCCGAGTTTCGTTTTCCACAAGCTTTAGGTATTCCAAACTCCCTTTTCTCCTTGTTTCCTTTGAGGACAGCGCCGAAGTTGTCAAGTCAACTTCAATCCTCAGGTCGTTTCTGTCCAGAATACTATTGGATGATCTTTCCAGCAGGTTAGATGTGTTTCGCGTTTGATCTGCCCGGTTCAGTTTATTATTTTGCTCAAGCTTTTGTGTCAGCTCTTGTATTATTTTCTCATTCTGCTTCTCCTTCTCAGTGAAGTGTTTCTTTTCGTTAACGAACGTGAGAGCTAGCGACTTAAGCTTTTCCAGTTCACTCACTAAGCTCTGCTCAGTTTTATCCAGCCTATCTTCAGATTGCTCAAGTTCTTTCACTTTTGCCCTAAGAACTTCCAGTTCCGTCGATATTTTCTTCGTCAAGTTTTTCTCCTCGTTGAGGCTGAGGCAGAGCTGAGTACAGTCATTCTTACTTCTGCCAAAAGCTTCCTCCAGCTTCTCCAGCTCTGCCATTCGCTTCTGAAGACGCTCGATTTCGGATTTCAGCTCCCGAGTGAGACTTTCCTCCTCCTCCAGTTTCTCCTTCATCAGCTGGCAAAGCTCTTCCGCTTTCCTGATCTCCTCATCCTTCCCTTCAATTTTCAAGACTCTTTTGCGCAAAACTTCCACATCGGCCAGCATGCTTGAGTTGCTGCCTTCTGCCTGGATAACTTTGTCCTGCAAGTCCAGCAACTCATCCTCAGCTTTCTGGAGGTTTTTCGTCGCTTCCTCTAATTCATCGAGACGGCGGCCGAGACTCTGGAGCTTGAAACGTAAGTGACGATTCGACGTCTCTTTATAAGCTGAATAGTCCGCCATGTTTGTTCTACCCCTCTGCTTTCAGATTTTTTTTTTCCAAATGGGAGTGAGGAATTGGATTTTTATAGCTCTTTATTCTTCTACTTGTTTCATTAAGTTCCTTGGGAAGATGACCAGCACCTGGAAAGAGAAAGCAGGTGGTAAGTATAATGGAAAGGATATTTCTAACTGCTTTTCTTTTCAAGAGCTGTGATTCAAATTGATCTGATTGGTAGAGGAAGGGCGATTGCACAGTGGCAGAACACGTGCTTTGCATGCAAAAGGACCCAGGTCCAGTCCCAGCCATTTCGAGGCAGGACTGGGAAAGACTAATGTACACCCCCCCTCCCCGAAAACTGCTGCCAGTCAGTGTGTAGACAATGCCAAGCTAAATAACACTTTTCTGTCACACATGCAGAACAGGTTCTGACGAGCCTGGATAGCTCAGCTGGTTAGAGCATGGTGCTGATAATGCCAAGGTAACAGGTTTGATCCCTGTAAGCTGCATATTCCTGCATTGCAGGGGGTTAGACAAGATTCTCAGGGTCCCTTCTAAACCTGCAGTTCTATGATTCAAGGTTTGTTATATTGCCACCAAGGATGCTGAACAAGGGCGATGCAGAAGCAGCCAGCCCTTATGTGTTTATCCTCACAAGAGAAGACTGTCATGAGGCGCATTAAAGGCCATTGTGGCGCCTTTCTGCGAAGCCTGTTTAGAAATGACTCACATCCCGCAGGCAGAAGGTCATTTAGCAGCAACTCGGCCACCTGCGGCCTCTGCCAAAGCAGGCCACGCTCTTTTCCTGAGGTTGCCACTTTGAGCAGACGGCATAGGCAGTGTTCCATGTCCAGAATTTCAAGATAATGCAGCCCCTCGCCTCCCCAACTCAGCCTTGAAGGAGGGGGTGGGCTGTGTATTTGCAAAGGTATGCAACATTCTCAGCTCTGATTATAATGAGTCCCGTTATGCCAAGGGGAAGGAGGAAAACAACAGAGAAAGCCCCCACAAAAGTGACAAAGGTGGGGGGAGAAGGGAATGCCCAATTTTATGATGACACAACATATACGAGCAAGCCAAAAATATACTCCTGTATCCTCCTTTTATCTGGCAGCAACCTTCCTTTCCAACGGTATCCTGATGCCATCTGTTTGCAAGGGCAGAAGTCTCTGTCCCAATTCCCACCTCAGGTGTGAGTCACAAGGTTATAATGCAGTTCTCCAGTTTTTCAAAGGGGAGCTGCTGTTCTTCTCCCAAAAGGGTCGGGAATTTCCTCTTCCCTGCCCGTCACTCAGTACCTGGGGGCTGAGGAAGGTGCAGAAAAGGGGGCCTGGAGGAAACGAGAAAGGGGTTGGAGCAATTCGCCTATTGGGAAAGGTTGCTTTTTAGTTTTAGGAACATGGGGAATGTGCTAGAGGTGCATATTGTTAGTGCTAGAGGTGCATATCATTACAGAAACGAACAGTGGTCTTTAATAGTCCAACTTGGCAGAAGACAACTCCCTATGCCCGTATGTCAGAAGGTGTGCAGCAGTCTTCTGTGACAGCTGAAACTTCCAAGTCATCTTCATGGGTAGCCCCATGTGAAACCAACTGCAGTAATCAAGGCTCAAAGTTTCAGAAGCATGGATTGGCACGTAGCAAGGTCTTGCCTTGCCATAAAATTGCCTCCTAATTAGCCCAAGATGGGGGGGGCACCTCCTGGCAACAGCTCTTAACGTGAAAACCAAGGATCACAAAAACCGTACTGGTCACCGGTAGCCTGATCCCCTCCAGACTAAGGCTATTTCTCAATCGCCCCCACCTCCAGCTTGTCTAGGTTCAATTTTAACTTATTCACCCTCAGCCATTTGAACATGACATTCAGACCCTGGTTCAGGACAAAGATAAAGCTTGTTCACACATTACACTGAACCCAGGTACAAGCTGTCTCTGTACATGTTCAAGTCGTTGTGTGAAAGAGTGCAGCTTGTTCATTTGTGCATTTCAACTATTTGTGTACAGTGGTACATCGTGTTATGTACTATACTCCTTACAAATGCTTTGGGTTACGCCCTCCACTAAACCGGAAGTAGATGCCCCTTGTTGCGAACTTTGCCCCGGGATGCAAGCGGAAGTCGCGCTCCGGCAGTGCGGCAGGTGCCATTAGCGAAAGCGCACCTCATGTTATGAGCGCTTTCTGGTTACGAATGGACCTCCGGAACTAATTAAGTTCGTAACCAGAGGTACCAATGTACACAGATTGTGCACTCACTATCAGCTGTAAACAACCCTGTAACTTGACCCTGAATGTTCTGTTATTTTTAATTGTTTCATTTATGGGTCACTTTACACATGAACAGTCCCAAAGCAACTCAAAATATATTTAGAGTGAGGTCTCATCAGTGTAGCAATATATATTGATCACCCTCCTATCAATTTACATTGACAGGTGAAATCAATTGGATCGTTCGGTTGAACTGCTAAAGCAAATCATTTGGAAGGCATTTCCCTAAACACTTGTCAAATGCAGCAGGCAACGCAACAGAAGAGCATGGTCTACGGTACCAAAAGCTACAGGCAGATCCAGCAAGACCAGAAAGGAGGAATTTCCCTTAACAAGTTCATAGAATCATGAAACTGTAGAGTTGGAAGGGACCCCGAGGATCATCTAGTCCAACCCCCTGCAATGCAGGAAACTCAGCTAAAGCAGCCATGACAGATGGACACCCAACCTCTGCTTAAAAACCTCCAAGGAAGGAGAGTCCACCACCTCTCGTGGGAGTCTGTTCCACTGCCGAACAGCTCTTACTGTCAGAAAGCTTTCCCTGATGTTTAGTCAGAATCTCTTGGAACTTGAAGCCATTGGTTCAATACAAAGTTCAGTGCAAAGATCACACACCGGGTCAACTAACGTCTTCTCCATCTCACAGACAGTGCAGAAACCACATGGGAAAGGATGACTTTCAAATGTGACCTAGAAGGACCCAGCACTTAACAGACACCATGGGGAATGTAACTGCAAGGACCTTTACTCCTAATGTGCTTCTTGACTGAACGCTCCTTCGCACAGCTATCCCAGAGGGATCTACCAGGACTGGTCCTCTGCAGCAAATCCCCATTCATTCCTACATAATAAAAGGGGCCATGGCTAGCCTTGTGGTCTGATTAGCCCTGCAACATTTTGCCTTCAGTTGCCAAAGAGCCAAGTGATGCTATCCCAATGAGCAATCTTGTGGTGCAAATGGCTATTTGATGTTATTCACAGGGTTCCTTGTCTGCAAACCTTATGACTATTGAAAGTCACTGAGAGCAATTATGGTGTTTATCTTAAGAAACATGGGTAATGATGGCTGGCACCTGTGATTTTAGTAGGAGCCTGTCACAAGTCCATTGCTGTCTGGGCTGTTGTTTCCTTAGGACCTTTGATCTCTTCAAGTGCTAGACAGGGAAAATTCACAGCCAATGAAGGGAAGAAGAACAGAGGGAGAGGGGGCAGGTGATGGACTTGTGACATGCCCCCCCCCTAGAAGAAGAAGAGGAGGAGGAGTTTGGATTTGATATCCCGCCTTTCACTCCCTTTAAGGAGTCTCAAAGCGGCTAACATTCTCCTTTCCCTTCCTTCCCCACAACAAACACTCTGTGAGGTGAGTGGGGCTGAGAGACTTCAAAGAAGTGTGACTGGCCCAATGTCACCCAGCAGCTGCATGTGGAGGAGCAGAGACACGAACCCGGTTCCCCAGATTACGAGACTACCGCTCTTAACCACTACACCACACTGACTCTCGCCACTGGTACTTTAGGTTTGTGCATTTAAAGTAGATTGAAGCACGACAAATCCACTTTTAAAAAATTACAAAGTGTGGTTTGGAAAGTGACAGGGAAATTCATTGAACTAATGATTAACATGATGGTATATAAACACCCCACAAGCAAATCAGGATGAATGAAAGATTGTAGAGTTGGAATAGAGACCCCAAGGGTCATCTAGTCCAACCCCCCTGCAAAGCAGGAATTTCAGCATGAGGTCCTGCATCCAATTTGAAACCATATCGGACCCTGCTTAAATTTGCAAATGCGCTAGCAGTTTTTGAATGCTTATTGTTATGTAAGTACCCTGTAAACAAATCAGAACAAATGCTCAATAAAGACCAGACATAATCTAACCACCATGTAAGCCTTGTGCAAGCAAACTAGGATGAATACTAAATAAACAGGTCATCTTGAGAAGCCCTCTAAAAATAACCACCATCTGCACACCAACTCCACATTAGTTGAAGGCAGCGAGACTGATGTTTACACTCTATGAAGCATGAATGCTTTTTAACGGTAAGAATTATTTCCAACTAAGTTTTACTCAAAGTAGTTCCATTGAAATTATTATGCCTAACTTAGTCATTGTTCATTAATTTCAGTAGGTCTATGCAGACAAGGACTACCATTAAATACAGCCGGTCCAGTATATCTGAAGGAGCGCCTCCACCCCCATCGTTCTACCTTGACATTGAGGTCCAGTGCCAAGGGCCTTCTGGCGGTTCCCTCACTGCAAGAGGCCAAGTTACAGGGAACCAGGCAGAGGGCCTTCTCGGTAGTGGCACCTGCCCTATGGAACGCCCTCCCACCAGATGTCAAAGAGAAAAACAACTACCAGACTTTTAGAAGACATCTGAAGGCAGCCCTGTTTATGGAAGCTTTTAATGTTTGATGTATTACGGTATTTTGATATTTTATTGGAAGCTGGGGAAGCCCAGCCAGATGGGCGGGGTATATTATTATTATTATTATTATTATTATTATTATTATTATTATTATTTTCCCTCTCAACAGGAGGAGCATTCCCAGGATCATCAACACTGGGCTGCTCCACTCACTATAAGTCACAGTTCTCTGGAAGGAAAGGACAGAGTCTGGCAAGGCCCTCTGCAATAAGAAATCAGTGGTGGCGAAAGAACCATCTTCCATTAGCCACACACCCAATTTCACTTGGAATATCCAGGGAATAAGCATATACAGTGGTACCTCGGATTACATATGCTTCAGGTTACATATGCTTCAGGTTACAGTCTCCACTAACCCAGAAATAATACCTTGGGTTAAGAACTTTGCTTCAGGATGCGAAAAGAAATCGAGCAGCGGTGGCGTGGCGGCAGCAGGAGGCCCCATTA